TGCCCAGAGGGAGAAAAAAAATCCTCATTTACATAAGGAACAGAATGGCTCTGAGATAGAATTACAAAGAATCAATTGCAAGAACCCTCCTCTCTTTTATTTAATCCTCAGCATAAATTGCATCAAGAATTGAGACTATTGGGCAAGGATATTTTTTATATTGTAAAGAAAATAAAATTCAAGACTGTGCCTTTCATTTCCTAAAGGAGGTTTGTATACTTTACCATGGTCCAACAGTATTTAATTTATTTCATTATTAAAATTTTGAAAGAATATTTTTAATGAGCTACTTACGGTAATTAATCTTTAAACTTGCCCACGACATTTAATTCGTATTTTTCTAAAATGTACTTCTGAGCTTAGAAAGAAGCATTCAAGTTCTTAATTTTCCTGTCTCTTTACTGATACATACTTCTATTTGCTAAAGGAAGATAAGATTATGTTAAATATTACTTCCCCTATGAATTACGCTAGAAGTAGATAAAGTAATTTATATGTTGGGTCCTCCCATCCCTCGCCTTCCCTCCCCAGGGAAGACTACTGAAGCAAATCTGAATAAGTAAAGCAGAGCTGTGGATATCAGGCTAAAAAATTACATGGCCACCATTATAACACCACAACCTGCAGCAGCTGTCTTCAAGCCCTTCCCTCTCACGCCCAGCTCTGCCTGCCAACCCAGCAGGAATGAATGAGCTCCGCAGAGCATTGTAAATGGTGCTGCAGACCCTAAAAATATGTCGCTGAAAACCGAAGGGAAAACAAAAATTTTCAACTTTGTGGCCATTACAAACCTCTTTACCTCTGAGATTTAATTAGCCGTGTCAGGAGTGCTCAGTCCCGTCTTATTCTGCATAGCCTATCCTTGTTGATAATGGAGCCTTTCCAAGTAGCAAAAGAATGTTACTGCAATCCATTTCCTAACGGGTGAAAGCAAGGCCTTTTTGTCCCGAGAGGCAATTGAGCAACCACTAGTCTCTAGTTGAATAGCAGCGGTGTGAGGCTGGCTACAATTCCCACAGTTGCCTCTCAGAGGAGTTTTACTGAATTCATACAAGATCCAGAAAAAAGGAAATGCAGTTATTGAGCTAACATCACACAGCTGTCTGTGGATGGAGGCAACATTACAAAATGGTCTTCCTTTTACAATGTACAGTTCTCCTTTTTAATTTGGTGTTTCAGTTATTTTTCTCATTCCAAAAATCAGAACAATGTAGAATTTAACTGCATGCACAGGTAGTACTAGCTTCTCAACTCAATTCCTTTTCCTTGTATTTTCTCAATTCTTTATCACGAAATATGATTCATATTGCATAGACTTCTGGTAAAGGAATATTTGAAGTAAACTCTTTAGTTCATTAGATTTTAATTATTGCCATGTTAGAACCACTTGTGTGCTTCCATATTTAGTATGGTTATTCTTTCCATCTTCCATTTTTGTTTAGCTCTTTTGGGGAGGGGTGCAAAAGGTCTGAAAATAAATTATTGGAACCAGAGAAACCATTTTGAATGGCTCTATTATTGAACCTTTAAAAATCACATTTACCCAAGCTATCATTCCTGTCGTCTCTCCTACTTTATTTTAAAGCAATTAGAGATATTGAATCCTCACCGAATATGGTCGAGTTCAGCATACTCTGACGGAGGAACTGGGAGTAATTTTCCATTAAATATTTTATCACAACACAAATTCTGCGATTGTTGGGGGGGAAAAACCTTACATTGGTGGTTTTAACTGTAGTTTCGAGGTTGAAGCAACATAAAATCATCCAACCCCAGTTCTCTTTCTTCCTTTTTGCACTCCCCTTCCCAGCCCCACCCCACAATGGATGCTCGACTGTTTTTTCTCGGTCTCTTTGTCTGAAAGGATGCAAACAGTCTATGGATGCTAGGGAAAAGGGGGTGGGGGAGAAATTACCTCATCCCATGTCGTTTGCACCAATCACAACTCTCCTGTCGTGGCTTCTCCGGGCAGATTGAGGGGTCTGGACCAACAGGAAAAGGCCCCAGCCCATCCCCATGGTGACTGAGTTGTATATAGGGAGCTGCATCCGCCCATGTGCCGCAGGTTCTCTTACATCGACCGCCTAAGAGTCGCGCTGTAAGAAGCAACAACCTCTCCTCCTCCTCTCCGCCATCCGCTCGGCAGCCTCCAAGCAGCAACCATGGTAAGAATTTGTTTTCCCTGGCTCTTTGTGGCCTTTGGGTGGAGTCAGTCTTCCAGGGTCTGTTGGAAAATCTGAAGCCCTATTCCCTTTACAACTTCTTTGGTAAGGGCAGCCTTGCGCTTTGTTGGCAAGGTTAACCTTGGTCTACCCCAAATCCCGGAGCGGCGCCGCCGCAGTGCGGGTGCACCAGCCCGGCGAGAACTGCGCCCAGGGCGCCGCGGAGCCGCGGGGAAAGAACAAAGGCGACTGACTGGAAGGGCTTTTTGTCATCCGAGCCTTTCCCAGCCACAAGCAGCCCGTCTGTTGGCGATGAAAAGGTCGGGCAGGGAAAGACGATCGTGGCGTCTCCTGCTTGGCCCCCCACCCCACAAGGAACACTGTATTCGTGTGGCTCCGGGAGGCTCTTTTCTTCCTCGCGCGTTTCCCGAGGGACGGAGAGGAGTCGCCCCAAAAGACCAGGGGTCGGTGGGTGTATTCGGGAGGAGTTGGGGGCAGAGAAGGACTGGAACCGAGCGGAGCCTTGGGTTAGTAAAAAAGAAGTTCCCTCGCTGGCTAGTCGGCATTTTAGAAAGATACCCGTATATTAATGGGGGAAAGTGGTTGGTTTCTGTTGGTGCCGGCGTCAGGGCGGCGCAGGGGCGTTGTTTGTTTCTGGCTTCTCTGGCCTCCGAGCCACTGGGCGGGGTTCACTCTTGCTAAAGCTCTTCTGTCAAGAGAAGACTTAGTAAAAGTCTTTCATCATTGCCGAATTGTAGGCGTTAAAAGGTTCTTCATTCACTGCTAAACTTTAGATGAAATAGTTTTATTTGAGGAGCAAATTCACAATTTACTTGACAAGCCCCTTAAAGTCTGGCCCTCGGCTACCCCACCCTGACTGAGAGAGAAAGAGAGAGAGAGGGAGAGAGACGTGGGGGGCTTAGCTGCCTGTTCAGTGAAAAAGACCACTGTGTGAGCCAGAGGACCCCAATGTTCAGGACCCTGGGAAACGCCCTTCCCTGCCCCTCCCCCCAATATGTCAGTGAAGAGACAATGGATAGACAATAGAAGTTGCAGTCATAAAGATCATAGAGCAGAAAATATCTATTGAATGTGATTAATATGAACATCCTATGTTGGGTAGAAAAATCTCAGTGAAAATAGGTACTATTTTGGTTTTTAAATATATATTTTATTATTCTTTCACTGGGTTCTTTGGTAGCTTCTCATGTGATATTTGTTTCTAATTTAGGAACTGTTGTTTTAAAGATACTCATAAAAAGATAAAAAATAAAGATACGGTACTCATAATTTTTCAGTTTTTTTTTTTTACAGTGGAGAAAATTCTGGAGATACTTTAAAAAAAATGAAATTGCTGCAGACAAAGAAGAATTATACTCTGTGTCCAGCTGTCTTTTGTTCGAATGCATCTTCATTAATTCATTTCAATTTAGGCATATGGTCCTAGCCTGGCTCAGAGGAGGAAAACTGGCAGAATGGCACAATGAGATCATGTAGGCAGTTTCTGGAAATAGAGCTTGCTCTGTTAAATAATGTAGCAGACAGTACAAGCTAGCACCAGGCACCACAAATTCAGCAATGCAGGAGTCAGCCCTTGTTGAGCTTCCAACCCCCTGGTACAGATGGATTCTGCAGATAGGCTGCAGAAGGGTGTGGCTTCCAGCCTCAGCTGCAGTGCAGATGTCCATGTTGAATTACTAAATCATATTGAGAAGAAACTCCTATCTTTATTTAAAGGGGAAGGCAGTAGCAATATTGATTCCAATTAATGATTTAGTTTAACTTCATTTTATAAAATCTGTGCTTTGAGTATTTTTTAAATATGGACAATCTATTTAAGCATGCCTGTGGGAACAATGGACTTGCACCACGTGCTAAAGAGTGCAACATTATTATTCAGGCCACACCCATATGCAGTATTGTAGCAGGTGCTTTGTTTAAATCATTTTTATCATGTTAGGGATATGACCTCTGATAAATTTGAAGACAACCTGTATGCTACTGGAAATATTATTTTAAATTTACTGAAAATTCAAAATGCTACCACAACCTAATATTACAAATTTTCTTTTTTGTTTTTAACAGCGTGAGTGCATCTCCATCCATGTTGGCCAGGCCGGTGTCCAGATCGGCAATGCCTGCTGGGAGCTCTACTGCCTGGAACACGGCATCCAGCCCGATGGCCAGATGCCAAGTGACAAGACCATTGGCGGGGGAGATGACTCCTTCAACACCTTCTTCAGTGAGACAGGCGCTGGCAAGCATGTGCCCAGGGCAGTGTTTGTAGACCTGGAACCCACAGTCATTGGTGAGTTGACCTCAGTAACCCAAGTAAGACACACATACGACCTGGGGTCTGGGACACAAGGTGTGTCCAGGGGGCTCCGTTGAGGCCTTGGGGTTGAGCAGGCTTGTGCAGGTGGTTAGTGACGGGTGGCTGCTTTGGTTCCCTTTTGCAGATGAAGTTCGCACTGGTACCTACCGCCAGCTCTTCCACCCTGAGCAGCTGATCACAGGCAAGGAAGATGCTGCCAATAACTATGCCCGTGGACACTACACCATTGGCAAGGAGATCATTGACCTTGTCCTGGACCGAATTCGGAAACTGGTATGTTTCTTTTCAAGATTAAAGAAATTAATAAGCCTAAGGTAGACATTTAAAGTATGCTCTTCTTTTTTTTTAAACACAGAATTGAAATGTAATAGAGTGGGAGATGAATTATTTCTTTATTGTTTGTTAAAACATTAATTGTTTGAAATCATTTCATAAATTTTAATGGAGAAATATTTTAAATTAATAAATGCTGAGTTATTCCAGAAAGGCCTACATTTTTAAAAAAGTGTTTCCTGTCCAAATAAGATTTAGATCATTGGAATGTATGAAAAGTGAAAATACATCACAAAAAGCAATAACTATGTTTCCTCTGTTCTTTCCTGACAGGCTGACCAGTGCACAGGCCTTCAGGGCTTCTTGGTTTTCCACAGCTTTGGTGGGGGCACTGGTTCTGGGTTCACCTCCCTGCTGATGGAACGGCTCTCTGTCGATTATGGCAAGAAGTCCAAGCTGGAATTCTCCATTTACCCAGCCCCCCAGGTCTCCACAGCTGTAGTTGAGCCCTACAACTCCATCCTCACCACCCACACCACCCTGGAGCACTCTGATTGTGCCTTCATGGTTGACAATGAGGCCATCTATGACATCTGTCGTAGAAACCTCGATATTGAGCGCCCAACCTACACTAACTTGAATAGGCTGATAGGTCAAATTGTGTCCTCCATCACTGCATCCCTTAGGTTTGATGGGGCCCTGAATGTTGATCTGACTGAATTCCAGACCAACCTGGTACCCTATCCCCGCATCCACTTCCCACTGGCCACATATGCCCCTGTCATCTCTGCTGAGAAAGCCTACCATGAACAGCTTTCTGTAGCAGAAATCACCAATGCATGCTTTGAGCCAGCCAACCAGATGGTGAAATGTGACCCTCGCCATGGTAAATACATGGCTTGCTGCCTTTTGTACCGTGGTGATGTGGTCCCCAAAGATGTCAATGCTGCCATTGCCACTATCAAGACCAAGCGTACCATCCAGTTTGTGGACTGGTGCCCCACAGGCTTCAAAGTTGGCATTAATTACCAGCCCCCCACTGTGGTCCCTGGTGGAGACCTGGCCAAAGTGCAGCGAGCTGTGTGCATGCTGAGCAACACCACAGCTATTGCTGAGGCCTGGGCCCGCCTGGACCACAAGTTTGACCTGATGTATGCCAAGCGTGCCTTTGTCCACTGGTATGTGGGTGAGGGCATGGAGGAAGGAGAGTTTTCTGAAGCCCGTGAGGACATGGCTGCCCTGGAGAAGGATTATGAGGAAGTTGGTGTGGATTCTGTTGAAGGAGAGGGTGAGGAAGAAGGAGAGGAATACTAAATTTAAAATGTCACAATGGTGCTGCTTTTACAGGGAAACTTATTCTGTTTTGAACATTGAAAAGTTCTGGTCTGATCAGTTCATTTGTATGTAGAGCAGTGTACACTCTCATATACAATTACTGGCTTATGCATTAAAACAATGCTTTGTTACAGATCCAAATTGTCAATTTCTCTGATGGGTTTGAATAAAGTATTCCCTGTCTTAAATGAGTTCAGACTTGTGCTTTCTATTTGGGTGTCTGAAAATATTTACGTACTTATTTAGTACATTGAGCAGAAAGGGCAAATGTTGACTGATATATACATATATTACAAAGTGACTATTTCAAATTATCTTCATATATTATAAAACATAAATTATAAAATATATCAAATATTATAATTAAATAATATCCATGCTATTCTTAAATTTTTACTCCATTCTGTTACTTAAAATGCTAATACTTTTTATAATTGACATTTGCTAATACACAGCCAATGTCTAATTGGCTGCTGAGTCTCACACAACTAACAAAATGGTGGGTGTCCAAATGCATCATCAGGTCTTACAAGCTTATTTTCATACCCCCTACTTGGCATGTGTCTAGTGCTATCATGCTTCCTCTGGGTTTGTGAAAGAAGTCTGTTTTCCAAGCAGTTTTCCCATATGCTCTACCTAGTTCTTTTTTCCAAACTTATTTTCAGCTGAATGTGACAATGGAAGATCTTCATAAATTTACTCACTATGGGCTCTCCCTCCCAGGAGCATGCCCTTGCCTTTCCCTTTCCGCTCCTTCCCACACCTCTCCCCCATGTTACCAGGAGGTTCCTCGCTCCCAAACTCCAAGGTCTCTTTACCTCTATAACTTGTTTCCTAAGCCCATTTATTCTAGAAATTACTTTTTCTATCTCTAATTTACCCAATGTTCTCTTACCAAAAAAAATAATAATAATTATTCACTCTAATGTGTTAATTATTTATCTGAATTTTAGCTCTCCAAAGATATTCTTACTTTAATATGGGTCAATCACTTCAAAGAATAAACTCATAGTACCACTGTAGGCATCAGCACCAACATGGTAAGAGAGACAGTTTTGGACAAATGGTTTCTTCTACAACAGAGTTCGCCTGCTAGTCCAACTGACCAAAAGGCTAAGGATCCAGGATAACAAAGTGCCTTGTGCTATCCTGTTACCTCGTTCTAGTAAAATACCCAGCGGTGATAAAATTCTATTTTGTTTTGTTTTGATGGTTTTAGTATCAATAGCCTATTTCCTTTGAAACTGCCAACTAAGGGGTGTAATGCTATTGTAGCTACTGAAATCTAAGTTTAATGTAAGTTAATGGAAATACAGTCATGTGCCACATAACATTTCAGTGACAAACTCATATAAGATGTCCCATACATAATGAAGCTGAAAAATTCCTGTCACCCAGTAATGTAGCCATTGTAACATTCTAGCATACCACATTACTCATGTTTGTAGTGATGCTGGTGTAAACTTACTGTGCTGCCAATTGTTTATCGGGTCTAGTAATAATTAATGTCGTTTTTAAACATTCATTTAAAATCTTGCTTGGCGTTGACTTGTATTGACATAACCTTCAAACACGTGGTATCTACAGAACGTGTGAAGTGCAATTAACAAGTTTTGCTTGAAAAAGTTTGTGTTTGGTTTGGTTTTTGTTGCAAAACTAGGGCTAAGAAGATGGCAGATGAAGAGCATATTCGGCACTGCATGCTTTACGAGTTCCAATTAGGAAGAAAAGCAAGTGAGGCTGCAAAAAACATCTGTAGTGCTCTTGGTCAAGATGCAGTTAGTGCCAGAAAATGCCAGCGTTGGTTTGAAAAATTCCGCGAGGGAAATTTTTCGTTAGATGACAAGAGTGGTCGAGGCCATGTGTCCAATTTTGATCTAGAAGCTCTTCAAGCTCTTTTGGTGCAAAATCCTCAAATTACCCAACAAGAGCTTGCGACAACTTTAAATTGTTCACAAAAAACAATTTCCAATCAATTGCGTGCACTTGGCAAAGTCCAAAGTTTGGAAAATGGGTTCCTCATGAGTTGACCGACAACAACCGTAATCAAAGAGTCACAATTTGCAGTTCGCTCCTCTCTCGTCAAAACCGTTTGCCGTTTTTAGAGCAAATTGTTACCGGAGATGAAAAATGGGTGCTGTATGTCAGTGTTTTTCAACCTTTTTTGGGCAAAGGCACACTTGTTTCATGAAAAAAATCACGAGGCACACCACCATTAGAAAATGTTAAAAAATTTAACTCTGTGCCTATAATATAGGCCCTATATTGACTATATATAAAGTAATTCTCTTGAATAGGAATCAAACACAAAGAAAGTATTTTATAATTACTTTATTATGAAATATTAAGTAAACAAAATAGTGAAAAATTATAAAATTCTTGTCTTGTCTGCACCTACGGCACACCAGGCAACATCTCGCGGCACACTAGTGTGCCGTGGAACAGCGGTTGAAAAACGCTGCTGTATGTTACTTTGAAAAGGCGGCCTCAATGGTTGGACAAAAATGAGGCTCCGCAGCCCACGCCAAAACCTGACTTGCATGCGAAAAAAGTGATGTTGTGTGTTTGGTGGAATTTTAAAGGAATTCTTCATTATGAACTTTTACCATCTACCCAAACCATTACAAGTGCAGTGTATAGTGCCCAGTTGGAAAGGTTAGCCCAAGCTTTAAGAGAAAAAGAACCCGCGCTGATTAATCGGAAGGGCGTAATTCTTCACCACGATAACGCACGACCGCATACTGCAAGAATCACTGCTGAAAAACTGCGCCAGTTGGAATGGGAAGTTCTCCCTCAACCTGCATATTCTCCTGATATTGCCCCTTCCGATTACCATTTGTTTCGTTCTTTGCAAAACTTTCTTCTTGGAAAAAAATTTAATAATGAAGAATGCCTCAAAAATGCATTGACCGAATTTTTTGCATCAAAATCACAAGAATTTTACAACAGAGGGATTAAAATGCTTCCTGAGCGTTGGGCACAAGTAGTAGAAAACAACGGCAACTATATTGTTGATTAAATTTTGTTGTATTGTTTAAATAAATTTGATTTTAAAAAGTATTAGAAAACGACATTATTACTAGACCTAATAAAAGTATAGCACACACAATTGTGTATAGTCCATAATACAATACTTGATAATAGACAACCATCCTACTAATTTATGTATTTACTGTACTTTTCTCATCCTAACTCATTAGTGATTACTCAGTAATTTTAAAAACTAGATTAGCAGAATGACTTTCAGCACATCAGAATCAAGCTCTGCTTTTCCAGACCATTGTGCTCCTTTTTTTCCAGAGATAGCTAGACAGAAATGGGTTTCTTAATATTTCCACCCTGTTGCTGTATCTCTCCTCCAAGTGACTGGAAAGAAACACTGATGTGTGAAAGAAACATCGATGGGTTACCTTCCTGTACATGCCCCAGCTAGGGATTGAACTATAGTCTAGGTACGTGCCCTGACAGGGAATCTAACTTGAAACCTTTTTAGGTTATGGGATGACATTCCAACCATCTGAGCCACCCAGCCAGGGCTGCTCAGCAGTTTTTCTAGAAGCCAATGCAAATATATCTGATGAACAAAAAATAAAAGTCCTCATTCAGATTTTTTTTAAATGTGGAAAGTAGATCAAGTGTAAGCTTTTCAAAAAATCCTATATAATAAAGAGTTAGTATGCAAATTGATCCTCACGCTCTCACAAAATGGCTGCCTACAACCAGGCTGGTAGGGGGTTAGTGAGGGATGACCAAAGGACTGAAAAAGCAGGCTGTGTGGGGTAACCAGGCCAGCAGGGGGGTTAGTGAGGGACGACCAAATGATTGACCAGCAGGCTGCATGGGACAACCAGGCCAGCAGGGGGAGCAATAAGAGGCCACCAGGCTGGCAGGAGGGGGAGTGCAGTTGGGGGCAATCAGGCTGTCAGGGGGACAGTGAGGGACAATTAGGTTGGTGGAGGGGTGGGGGCAGTCAGGGACAACCAGTCCAGCAGAGGGGTGCAGTTGGGGGCAGGCAGGTTGGTAGGGGGGCATTAAGGGACAACCTGGGAAGGGGGAGGGGGTCAATTAGGAGTGACCAGACCAGCAGGGGGGAGGGCAATTAGGGGCCATCAGGCAGGCAGGCAGAGGTGGTTAGGGGTAATCAGGCTGGCAGGGGGGCAGTTAGGGATGATCAGGCAGGCAGGCAGGTAAGCAGTTAGGAGCCAGTGGTCCCAGATTGTGAGAGGGATGTCCATAGGATTGGGCCTAAACCGGCAGTCGGACATCCCTCGGAGAGGTCCGAATTGGAGAG